TCATCAGCTCCAGACGCGGTATATACGCATCAGCGTTATACTCGCACTCATCAGCTCCAGACGCGGTATATACGCACCAGCGTTATACTCGCACTCATCAGCTCCAGTCGTTCCAGTAGCAGTATACACGCGTTAGCGTTATATTTGCATCAATAATAACCAGGGGCGCAAAAGCGCCCCCCAATTCAATAAAACGTTAAATTACAACAATCGATTCACAACCCACATTCCTCCAACTCCTTCTTACAACAGAATAAATACCACAGTACTGATCAAGGCACCAGTACGCAACATTTTTTGGTCCTTCGAGCCGGATCTACTCTGCCGGCACCTATTGCAAGCAGYTACTTTCAAGCGGACGAGACAAGAGGCAAGGAAGACTTCAATCACGTGCCAACGAATGATCGAGACAACCGGAGTGTGAATAACTTCAAGCAGCTCTAAATACGTGCAGTCGGTCGACGCAGGGGATCAACGCATCAAGCCAACCATCCCAAGGTTAGACTGTACCACTACAGAACATCAATCATCACGTGAGTCTCACAATACTTATAACGAGTCATCAATTTGTTSAAGTCACAAATTCCTCTCTTATCTCTCCCCATTCGTGCCTTTCTATCGTAAAAATGTCTCGACCTCTAAAGGAATGTACTGAATCGCAGCTTAAGCGGAAACGTGCTCCATTAAAAACTAAATTCACGGTATTCAAAAAATTCATAACTGACTTRAACGAGCCTGATAGTGAAGGAATAGACATATTAAAATCACGAATAGAACAGATCGAGTCAGCTTTAATAGAATTTGAGAATGTGCAAGCCGCGTTGATAGATTTCGCGTCTGAGGAAACTTGGGAGTCATACGTAACCGARGGTGAAGATATTCGGCAGTCAATTCATAATGCGATAATAAGAGCGCGAAGGATAGTGCACACTTTCGAACAGGCCACGACACCCAACTCCAATCCGCCGATKAATAGCCCARTAGCAATCGTTTCCGCGGGTCCATCAAGCGAGACGCATAACCCTCCGAAGAACGACAAATCTAGATATTTACCACCAATGACGTTACCGCGTTTCGATGGACGGTACGAGGACTGGCCAAGTTTCTCCGARAAGTTTCAATCAATTGTTGGTAGGGACTCAGAATTATCCGATACAGAAAAAYTTTCATATTTAATGTCCTGTCTATCGGGCAGTGCAGAGAAACGAGTACGTGATTTAGCAATCACCGCAGAAAATTATCATGTAGCTTGGGAATTATTAGATTCATGKTATAACAACCCGATCGCACTAATTGACAAATACGTAAAGGCAATTMAAGAATGCCCACGGATAAATAAGCAATCGCCAGAATCTTTAACCGAGRCTGCTAYTACCCTTATCACGAACTACAARKCTTTAAAATCAACTAAAATGGATTTCCGCGACGCATTTCCYATATATACGGTAGTTTCGCGAATGGACGATCAGACAAGGTATGACTGGGAAAAACATCGTCCCAAACGAGAGTTACCAACCGTAGAACAGCTTGCTGATTTTTTGTTTGAGACCGGAGAAATTCTCACYAAATTGCATCCKTCAAGGARYTCCAGAGATACGGGAARGAGCCGCGTAACTACTTCATTTAAGTCGACTCCTCGGTACGAGAATCCGCGAAATACATCGCAATCATACGCGCRCTATCCAATTCCGCAAAGAGCACAAGGAAATGCATWTYGGAACGCARTGCAAATTTACTCATCGCGAACYCCCACRGTATGTTTCTTATGTTCGGGTACCCATGATACTTTTATTTGTGAACAATTCATAAAGGCTAAACCCGACGAGCGAACCAGAATAGCCGAATCGGCGGGGTTATGCAAAAACTGTTTGCGGTCCAACCATTCTATCGATAAGTGTTTCGCCAAACATTGTAGAAAGTGTGGTGAAAAACACAACACACTATTGCACGAAGACAAATCAAGCCTAACTGCATTATGCTCACGTGTCAGAATCAATTATATATCTTTACCAACATTGCTACTAACCGCAGTAGTGTCGTTATTAGATCGCGATGGCAACCCCCATAAATGCCGTGTGCTACTAGATTCACGTGCTAAAGCCAACTTTCTAACATCAGATTTTGCAAATAAATTGCGTGTCGCTCAGCAAAGTGTAAGCGTGCAAATAGTCGGAATAAATGAACTAAACACCAATGTTGACAAGGCCGTTGTTACAGTAATGCAATCACGTGTAGAAAAGTACGCAATAGAACTTAAATTTTTATTGTTACCAAGATTAACTAATATCCTACCAGCGCAACCTATACCATCAGGTGTGTTAGACATACCTTCTAATATCCAATTAGCTGATCCCGGTTTCGGTCAACCAGCAATGATAGACGCAATTATTGGTATGCCGACCTTTTGTACTTTATGGCGCGCCGGTCACATTCTCCAAGTAAATGAATCAGTAGCCTTGCAAAATAC